AAGGAGGGGGACTGAATGCAGCTAGGTGGATCCGGTTAGAATATCTTCAGACCCAGGTCTTGAATGATAACTCACACCAGCACTTTTCAAGCACCGGAAGGCATTAAACTGCTAATTCCATGCAGGGAACACCAAATTCTTAGATGTGGTTGAAACACTGAATATGAAGGGAGAGAAACGCAAACAGCTCATCTGGAGAAAGGGAAATGAAATAGAGAATCCTATATGCTATGCTAGCTAACATTTTTTTTGAGTACTTGCTATGTGCCAGGCAGGCATCCAATAAAGTATTTTCTTGCATGTAATCCTCACAACAACCCACTGAGCTACAAGATATCTTGCAATTGATGGAAGAGGCAAGGAGAGGTTAGATCATCTGTCAAAGTTACAGAGGTTTTAAGTGGCAGACACAGAACAGGAACCCAGTTCAGATTAAATCCTAAATGTGAGCTCATAAACTATCCACTCAGCTGCCTCTCTTAATGAAGGCTGCTAGGGGGAGCCATTGAAAGGTTTTGTAAGTTAGGAGTGAAGTGATCAGATTTGCTCTTTAGAAAGACTGTGGGAGGTGTATAAAGGGCGATGAGTCTAGAAGCAGAAAGAAGAAACTGCCAATGTCTGTAATTAATCTAGGTGACAAATGAAGAGAACATGAAGGAGACAGATTCATGCAATTTTTCAGAAGAAAAAATTATGTTTTCAGTGATTAAATGTAAAGGGTTAGTGTGTGGGAGGAATCCAGAAACCTAGCTTGGGGAACCAGTTAGGACGTGATACCATCTACCAGGAACAAATACGTATACATGCATACACGCGCGCGCACACACACACACACACACACACACACACACACACACACACGGCGGGGGAGGGGAGGAGTATTCCAAGTGCAAAACACTTTCCTAGGCCAAGGGTCAAGTCTAAAATTACGGTTGTGGTTGTTACAAAATATTCTTGAAAACAAGTAACAAAGTATTCAAAATATAAGGTACACTGAAAATTAATCATTACTATTAACAGACTTAGCCTAGTCTGAAAACATTTGGGAAAACATTTTGCACTACTATTTTTTTAAAATATTACCACATGCAAAAAGCAAGTCACTAGAGAAAAGCAACCCATAATTTTACTGTTTATTACATTTGAGTTTGACAGATCTTCAGTCTTTTACACAACACCCCCCCCCCGCATCCTGTAATTTATTTTACTTCTCCCTCTCCCTCTAAGCTTTTAGGCGGAAAAAAGTATCTGTTTTATTATCCAAACTATAGTATATATTTGGGTTTTTTTTCCATCCCACTATCACCACTGTGACTTGCCAAGAACTTAGTTCATAACCTCCTACTTGACTTCCTATAAAATATGACCTACTTCACATCAGCTTAATTCAGTAACAATTCCTAGACTCTAACCACACCTTTCACCCAAGGATGCTCTCTGCAAATCCTAAAGCACAGCAGTCCTGTGCAGATGTGGCAAGTTGTTACAATTCCCATTTTACTACACAGTTAGGAAACTGGCCCGGGGAAGTAAAGTAACTTGGAAATAATCACAAACCCTGATGCCAAAAATAACAACTTTTAGTTAATCCATGAGAAAATACTGCCCCTAGTTGAAATAACATGAAATTCATTATTAGGAGAAAGTGAAATGCAAAATAATGTTTCAAAGCCAGGTTCTAGGTTTTTAAATTTTATTTTTAAAAATGACCAAATGCTAGAATTAAGACGACTTGCAAGAACTTTCAAACACACCATTTTCCCCCAATAACTTATCCAGAGTGCCAAAAATGACTTAATGAATTACAGCTGGCAAGAGTGGCTTTTCTCCCAAACCATTTTTTTCCTTAGCTACTTAAAAGACACTGATAGAAATCTGTTACTATAGGACAACAGGTAACTTTTTAACAAACCTAACTGCTTAAAATTTAACACCTAGAAGCATAAATTAGAATAAATCTGAAATACTGCCAGTGAGCTGTATATTTTTTCTGAAAATATACTCTCTATAGGCATATCTGCAATATGCATGAATAAACTTAAAACTTTAATCATCAAAAATCAGAAAGCAAGCCTCTCAACGACAGTTCATGCCATGTGTTTCTAAATATGCTATAGTTTGATATAATTTAGTAAAAGCACTGTTTTATTTGATCACAATATACAGGTCTTACACATTGTGGAAACAACTAACACAACCTGATTTGTACAAGTTGCTTTTATAATACTGGTGTGATCATTCTTATATACACAAGTCTTTCCACTACTACAATACTTAACATTCGCTTATAGTGCAAAACAACAGTGTGCTCAAAATTTTACCTTCAAAAGAATGATTATACACTAAGAACAAGGAAGACAAATTATTGGTAAATATCCACTCATGGAACCTAAACTGCAAATTTTCACAAAAGCCTCACCTATTTATCACTCATGAAACATGATTTTTGGTAAATTAAAATTCAAACTACTAATTCTAACCACAACCTAAAAATAAAATGCTTTCCACTACACCAACATTCCTCATACTAAATCTTTTATATCCCTAATAGTAGTACTTTATATAGAACTTCAGTTTATAAATGAAATGACACTCCAGATGATTTTATGGGTAACATGTCTCCTAAAAGTCGTGATCAACTAGTAGGGCAGAAATCCTGGTAAATCGAATTAATAGGTCTTAGTCCCAGCACCAGAATATTCAGCCTATTTAAACGCACCCCTAGCCCTCCCCCTTACACCCCCCACACAACTCCAAGCTTTTAATGCTAGCATAACAATAAGCACTCTGAAAATTTAAAGCTCCTTTAACACTAGAAGTGCCAGCACCTTAAGACTATTACTTAAATGTCTTCATTGCATTTCATTAATGCATTCCACAAACAGAAACTGCAGTCTTAAGTACTTGACTCATTTCAACTCCAAAGATGGAGCGGAAAGGTTGTCATAAATCTACAGAGTGAAAGAACACAATTGCAAACTACCTAATGATTAAGAAAAAGTAGAACAATTGATATCAATTAACAAGGAAGATGCCTTCCCTTTTCCTTACAAAGCAGGAGTTACTGGTAAAATAAACTCCACACCTAGAGTCTAGAAAATGCTCAAATTCTCCATCCCAACATTCACAAGTTTTTAACATCAAAATTCACTTAACTGCTCTACTCACATACCAAATGAGTAACTAATGTGGGTATCTGAAATTATTCTCATACGCCAACAGAAAAACAAACAAAAAGCCTTGCGCCTCTTCTACCAGTCCTACAATACCCTCAGGTAAGCCAAAAGCGAAGCTACGACCGCTGCCCTTGGCCTAGGACGTCAGAAACCAAGGACCTGGC